CTTCATCTGTAAAGCTGGCCATACACCTTACAATTATCTGCAGATTTTCTGTGGTCAGATGGAAAAGGTGCAACAGATTCCTCCATCTACACTTAACTGTGTGGATGGAGTCATCTCCACCTGGGCCAATCTTCCGTAATCTTGTTGGTCGGCCCCCGCTGGTTCTCAAAACACCTGAACAATGCCTGCATCCAATCAGATTATTCAGGTATTTTGAAAGCCAGTGGGGCGACTAGCAAGATACTGAAGCTTGGCCCAGTGGGAGAGTCCTTCACACAGCTTAGCGTAGATGGAGGAATCTGCTGCACTTTTTCCATCTGACCACAGAAAATCTGCAGATAATTATAAGGTGTATGGGCACCTTAAGAATTACACAGCACAGCCAGAAAGTGACGGTGCCAGTCTGAAATCCCACCACTGCTGTCACAATGTGACGTATCACACTGTCAGCCTCGGAAATGTTCCAACTTGCAGGAAAACCAGTGCCAGCAGACTGAAATCAGTCATCATTGGGGTGGTTGACACCAAACAGGAAGGTAACAGAGTTTAATATATGACGGCCCTCACAGAGGCAAGGATTCTTTCTTGATTAGAGCATTTAGCTATTCCACTTGATGACTTAGGTAAAAATGTAACACATAGTTTTAAGTTTTAAATAACTTTTTAGTGAAAGAACAGAAGAAAAGGTGCAAGAAAAATATTTAGTGCAAAGAATATTACAAAACAGACAACAGCAAAAAACGACATTAAAAATGATGCACTTCTGAGTAAGTCTGATTCTGACAGAGCCACTGGCCCTCAGAAATGACTCTTATCATTGTGGCATAATTTCAGTGGTAAAACAAGGGCCAACTGCAGCAACATTTTGTTGATCCTCCAGAGCAGAGGTGGGCAAACTCCGGCACTACTGCTGTGGTGAAAATACAAATCCCATCATGCATCTGTCTCTGGGAGTCATGTCTGTGGCTTTGAGAATCTTGCAATGCCTCATGGAATTTGTAGTTTCACAACAGCTGGGGGTTTGCCCACCCCTGCTCCAGATAATACTGAAAAATGGCCTGGATGGGAAGGGGGTTTAACACCGTGGATGTCAACTGGTTAACAGAAATGACATAACCAATCAAAGGGGCGGAGATTAAAGTGTTATGGCTTGTGACATTTGCTGAAGCCTGGATCTTCTAATCTAAATGCATCAATATTTTACAGCCTGACAACCAATATATTTGCCAGAATGAAATCAGAGGTTGATAGAGATCAAACAATATATAAACCAAGGAGATGTAATTGGACCAATCCACGCTCTGGAGCACAGGCATGCTTGGTACCCACTTGATTGCTATCTGCTCATATATTTGGGAAGACGCCTGTTATTAATGTAGTGTTATCATATCAGAATTTATGATTACATTTGGGGTTTGAGTTAAAAAAAATAGCCCAAATTCTGTATTGCTTGCAACCGTTCCTGGAATGTTTTAACAACTATTTTACAATAGGGCTTCACTGAAAGTCCTGGCTTTCAAGGCATTAGCTTAGTGCTGTTTATGGCAGCCATTTATGATGGGGCTGAGTTAGAACTTTTTTGAGGCTTTGCATGCCATGGCTAAGTACTCTTTATGCATTCCAACCTAGTCTGCTTCATTCAACCTAATCTGTCTTGAGCTGGTTATTTTAGCTGATTGTTTGTTCATCACATGAATTTAAAAATAGTGAGGATGGCACTGTGTGCAACGCAGTTTCCCACATCCTCCCGCTCAGTTTGGGATCATCAGACCTGTTTATCGTCTTACCACTTATAGGTAAGGAATACAGTGTTGTTGTCTCTCCACCTTAAGCACGCTGGCTATACAGTAAAAACAAAAAGCAGCAGCAAGCTGCTGAGGTTGCCTTCCGACACGGTGTGCTCTCTCCTCCTATCAACATGCTTCTTGTCAACACCAGTACATGCACCTAACTGGCTTTCACTCCTGCCCCTTCCTCCCAGTCTGAGTGCTGGTGCATAGGGGATTCCAAAGAGTTGGTATCAAAATAAATTCAGGCATTTCCATTAGTTGCTTTGAAAAAAGCAAAACTATATTTAGTGATTTATAAAGAGGGCCTATCATTGTGTCCATTCAGAGCAGTGTAGTGTAAGTATTTAGGCCCCTTTCACACCAAATATGTTAGCATCCATTTGTCAACTGATGTTAACAAATGCCAACAGAGAGTAAAAAATGTATGGGTGTGAATGGGACCAGTTCACACTGCTGTGATGTTGTGTTGTGTTCCGTGTTGTGTTCCGCAGTGCGATGAAGAAAAATTGAGCATGCTCTGCTTATTTTCAGAGCAACGTAACACAATCCATCAAAAATGGATATCAATGCAGCAGAATGGAACAGAAGTAAAAAAAAAATAGAAGTTTGTCCACTCAGGACATGTTAATTGAAATAAAGATTGGCAAAAAAACGCAACGCAATGGAACCAAACGCAATGTTGAAATTGCAAGTCAACAGACCCCTGTGGACTTACGTTTTCAGTCCGATGGATACTTAAAGTCAACAACCCAACCACTATATATTCACCTTCACAGCAATCCCTCCATCCCCCACCGCTCATCCGCTTTATAAAAACATGCAATATTGCCCCCCCCCCACCCCCATGCTCTCTCTGGCCTAGTAATTAATCTCTTGGAATAAGAATTGCAGCATAGGAGGAGTTTACATGTTCCGCCAGAAGCACTCGGGAGGTGGTATCTCTTTAATAAATACAAGGCTGCATATATTTGTTTGCCTTAAGTTGGGCTTTATTGCACTTCTACAAGTTGTGCAGAAGTGACACTGCACACAAGAAGCACAGAGCTCAGAATTTAGGTACAACCGTTCCTGTGGAGGATTTTTTCTTTGGTGTAAACGGCTGGCTCTCTATCCCCAATGTGCTTGAGCTAAAATGCCACAAACTGTTGCTGAGATCATTAAATGTGAACAACGCAGAAGGAGATTTCAGCTGTGTCTCAGGCCCCTGTCTAAAGTTCAAGGCTATTAATCAGATGGTGCAGTAATCAGTAATGAAGACACAATCTGGTTGCTATTATTGTACACTTTGTCAACCTCCTGAATTAACTTCTTCAGTGAAGTATTGTAATGCCTATTTTTTTCCCAACAAAACCTTCTTTCTTTTTTAATGCCATATGGCTATGTCACAGCGATACTGAATTATTGTCTTTTGAAAAAAACAATTCCAGAATAAATTGTAAAGTGCTGCGTAAACTGTTGGCGCTATATAACCCCTGCATAATAATAATAAATATTATTATTATTGAGGGCTGACTCTGTGAGCAGACATCGGAGGGAGATCAGCACATCTCCCGCTGATCTCCTCTTCAGTCTCTGAATGCGGGAGTGATGTATATTACATCACTTCCGCATTCAGCTGTCATTCTCCAGCTTCTGTAGCCGGAGAGAAGCTGGTGATCTCTGCTTCATCAGCTTCTTTGGGGGTCCCTAGGTGACGTTAGGGGTCTTAAGACTCCAGATGTCTCTATAAAGAGGACATGTCACAGTAAATGTAATATCACAAAGGGGACTACTTAGCCCTCTATGTGATAACAATAAAGTTAAGTTAAAAAAAAAAAAAATTAAAGTCACACATAAAAATTTTTTTTAAAGTCCACTGCCCCCCATGTACACACTCAAACATGCGTCAGGTGTGCCTACGTGCGAAAGCGCAGATTGCACCCATTGCGCCGCACATGTTACATATCACCGC